CTTGAGTTCTTCTTCCACCAGTCCCTTAAGATTCAAGGGAACCAGAGAGGGCTCCAATGTGGAAAGGTCAGGGTGTAGATGAGGAACCAGCAAAGGAGACAGAGAGCACGAACCTGTGTGAACATCAGAGGACTGTGTCTCTCAGAAGCAATTGAAGTACGCTACCAATATGTATATCAGATGACTATCGAGAATGGACCAAAGGACTTAGAGGCAAGGGAATCATTGAGGAACTTAACAGAAACAGTTTCAGTGGAACAGTTTAAGGAGAAAACTAGAAATTAAAAGCAACGAGTGTAAACAACCATTTTAAGAGGTTGTGCTACTCAGAGAAGAGAAATGAGGCAGTGGCAGAAGGAAGAAGTAAATCCCAGAGATATTTTTTTCTTTCAATCTAAGAAATTATAGTATTGTTTGGCATGTTAATCAAAATGATTCAGAAAACAGTAAAAAGGAATGATTCAGAAGAGAGCAATACTGATGATGGAGAGCAGAAAAGGGAAAAATGCTGGAATAATAGTACTTAGGTATGTGACAAGAAGAAGAAATCGAGTCTGGGATAGTGGCAAGGTCAATTCATCCACACTAATCAGTGTAAAGACGGGGAGTAAGCACCCAGAAACACATAACTAGGTAGACTGGGGGTGTCAATGTACAATAGCTCTGTTCTGATTGCTTCTATCTTCTTAACAGCTGAGAATGAAGATAGAAAAATTTGTATTAAAGGTTTCAAAAAGAGAAAAAGGTAATAATCAATTATCCAGAAAAGGAGAAATATTGTATGCTTGTCAGTTAGTTCAAGGGCCCATGTGAATGTAGGAGTCATAAATTTAGACCACACTAGAAAGTACAGTTACATATCTTCTCTGGTCATGTTCAGTCCTATAGGCATAAGTAGAGAGTAGATGAACAAATGGATTCAATCATGCTAAGAGTTTTGTCAATAAAATATGAACCAAAGGGTATAAAAGATTTGAGAACATATGCAAGAGAATAAGTATAATGATGGAATATGGAGTTAAGCTCATTAAATAAAGAGAAAATAGGAAAAGAGTGACCAAAGAAGTAGGCTTGGTCAATAGTTGGTAGAGTCTGGTGAGACCAATGACTGAGTCTGGGTGATTAAATAAATAAACCTACTTCTACTCATATCAGACTAACTTATTGGTAGAGTAGTTCTCTACTATCATTATCAAATTATGAAAAAGTAGGAAGTAGAAGGGACACAATCTTCTATATTCATTAGGTAATAAATGCACTTGATTAAAAATTAATAGAGTAGGGGAATTAGTAAAATTAAATAATTTGGCCCAGCAGGTAGCATGGGAGTTGAGGTGCTAGATTCCCACATGACTGACCTCAGTTCCAGTCCTAAACCTGGCACCTTGAAAATAACTCTGGGCATGTGTGCATGATGCCCAAAATCCCAGGAGAAAAAGGGGCTGCAGGGTGGTCATCACCACTGGGTGAAGGGTGATTTCTTACTTTCCCTCTCACTGTCTCCCTCTGTCTCCCTCCAGTAAGCACACACAGTCTATCACAAAAACCTTAACAAACACACACACACACACACACACACACACACACACACACACATATAAATAACCTTTTGTTGGGGGTCTATTATATGTCAAGCACTATCCTACGCATTTGGCATGCATTATTTCATTTAATCCCTACATCATCCCTCTGAAGTGATAAGGTAAGTATAATCATAGCCATTAAAAGAAAACAAAACACAAACACAAACAAAAAACTAAGCTCAGGGCTGGCAGGTGGTGTGGGGGTTGAAGGTGCTGGACTACCACACGGTCAACCACAGTTTGAGTCTGGAACCTGGCAGTTTGCTTCCTCACTTTTCCTACCCCCACAATCCCTCTCTGGTCAAATCTAAATAAATAAATAAATAAATAAATAAATAAATACAAACAAACAAACCTAAGCTCAGGGTTATTTCACTGCACAGGTCACTGAGTCAATCGGTGGTCAAGACTCAAATGCATGTCTATGTGAGTACAGTGTTTAAGAAATTTTCCATCCCAGATTGCTGAATAGATAAAATATGTTCAAGGGACTATTTGCTTTCCCTGTTTCTTTTTGTTTTTTGATTTTTGTTTGTTTGTTTGTTTCTGTATTTATTTCTTCCATGAGTGAGTAAGAAAGAGAGAGAGAGACAGGAACTTTAAACAGGGTTCTCATGTTGGGATCCACTCTCAGCTTTCAGGCAATCCTAGATCATGGGCAAGTACCATCCCACATGGATCAGCCTGGCAGAGCAGAAAATTATGTTACTGTGCATCACTGTCTGGCCCCTCTCTCACTACTATTTTTCTGGTTTTGGGTAGTGAGGTAGGGCATGGGTGAGGGGGGCAATAATTAGCAGCAAGTGCAATACCACTGAATGCCTTGGTCATTTGCTCTGAGTTAAACAGAAACAACTCCATTATCTGCTGTTTTGCTGAGAACATAGCTTTTCCTCTTCTCTAATAAATACCCATTATATTATACTATGCATTATATAGTCAATTGTATTAATAATTAAACTGTATCTTCTCCTTTGTTTTTACTTAAATTCATTTTTTCTAACACTAAGTAATATTTGTATAGGGAGAAAGATATAAGCATTCAAAAATTTTTTAATCATTTTGGTTATTTTGCCTTTGGAATTACTAAATATTTTTCAACATCTCAACAAAATAAAACCCTTTTAAGACTGCAGGCATTAGAATGATTGTCATTCATGCAAATAATCACTTACTTACACTATATGAGTTCGGGTTGTATAAAGCAAATTACCATTTGAAAATAATTCAAATAACACTCTGGGCTAAGACCTTGCTTATGAATGTTATCTTGGCCACAACATTTCTTAACCTTCTATTTAGCTAGATTCCTTTATGGTAATACGGTCTAAATTAATAAAACTATTCAATTGCCACAGGTGAATTAAACATATGATGTTGTAGAAACATAGTAGATGTAAATGAATTTTTAAAATCATGTAATTTCTTTGGAATTCTATAGCAGTAATAATTAAGATGATCTATAACCACCTACTCACTCACTTAAAAATGTCATTTTTGCCTGTATATTATACAAAAAATTTAGGTCAAAAATAAAGTTTCATATTTTAAAATTTTAATTCAGATATAACTGTGTTCTAGCTACTGACAGACCTATAGTATAATAATTACATTTTTCAAAAGTTTACTCTCTCATCACACGTAGAAAAACTATATGTCTACAAATATTGCAATGTCGGAAAAGTCATGATGCATTTTTGCACAGAAAACACAGAAAGTAGCCATTGCTTTTCCAATAATCCAATACATGTTACACATAGATATACACACATAAACCATAACACACAAATAAGTAATCTGAAAACAGTTTTTGATTTTAGTTCCACTTCATTATAATTTTCAAAATGACAAATCATTTTATATTTTTGATAAATCATGTATAATATCAAAAAACTTGAACAATAAAAACAAAAATAAATCAGAAGTTACATGGTCTATGGACCAGCAGTTGGCGTAATGGCTATGTCGCTGGACTCCCATGTAGTCAACCGCAGTTCATGTCCCGGACCCGGTGGCTTAAACTCACGCCGGGCGCATGTACGTGTGTGCCCAAAATCCCAAGAGGAGAGTGGAGGAGAAGTGATTACGGCATAGCTATCCTCCCTGGGGGGTGATTTCTCGCTTTCTTACTCTCTGTCTGTCTCTGTCTTTCTGGTGAGCACATGCACCCTATAGCAAAAAGCCTCTCAAAAAAAAAGAAGTTACATGGCCTAAAATTTAATACTTTAATTGTCTGTTATGAGGACAGGGTAAATAGAAGTCAGTATCTACTTCTCTGGGCCACTGTTTTCAGTACTCCATAAAGTAAGGATTGGACTTAGGTGATCTAACTTCTATTTTATGACTAACTTGATTTGGTGTGGGGTAGATTTTTTTCTTCAGTGAAATATTAACAAGACACACAAATAAATCAGCATTTGGATTCTGAATGAGGAATACTGTCCGTAGCTACAGCAAAATATGAGCCACATCAGTAACCGTGTAACATAGAGACCAACGGGGACCTCCTTGCATGGCATGTAAGGACATTAAATCATGCCTTGTCCTCATTTCGGGGATGGGGAAGAGACGGCTATCTCTGAACTCATGTTAAGACCACAGTCAAAAAAAAACATAACAACAACAACAAAAAAAAAAACCAGCGGCATTTCCAGTTAGCACGAGTCCCACTAAAGTAAACTTTCTATTCACAAGGGAGAAATATTCCTGGTGGTAGTAAAAATAGTTCTGCTAGATTTAATCAAAAGTAAAAAGAAATTACAGAATGTTCCCTTTGAGCCACATCATCCATTGCTAATTCAGGGTGGGCCCAGCAACTAGGGTAATAAAAAATGTCCTTAGTAACTCAGAAACAGAAATGGCAATTAAGTGCAGTTGCAACCCAATAGAAGACTTAACTCCTCATTAAGATAATGTAACTATAAAAATTAGGAGAACCAAAAAAAAAAAGAAAGAATGAAAAAGGAAAAGAAAAAGACACCAAAAAGAAGATAAAAGTATGTAAAATGAAAGTAATTCAAGCAGTGAGACTTATCATTGATTTACTTAGGAGAGTTGCTATCAAACATATAAACCAATGGGCTGGTTGAGAAATATGCCTGACAATGGCTTCTGTAACAAAACAACAAATAAAGAAACAAAACAGCAAGTTTAAAAGTCAAAGCAGCTTGCTTTGTTAAACAAATAAATACAAGAAAAGAATGGAAGAACTCAATATCTGAACTAACCGCTCAGTGATACGTTGGACACATGATTATTTAAAATCTTTGTAAGTTACAACACAGTGAGATAGAACTCAATTCTCTAATTAACCATGCTTAGTCTGAAAAGTTAAAATTGGCAAGAGGAACACCAATTTCTACACATTTGTGGAGTGATTTATGATACAACACTGACAACAGAGTCAAATAAACTGACCTGCTCACATCAGGAAATCTGATGGGAAAGTAAATAACTTGGCACTTGGGTCTGATGATGCTTTCCAGATCCTTCGGTCTGTGATCAGGAATCAGCTTCATAAATTTTCCAATAGAAGTGAGAAATGACTCCATATTAAAAATTGAGTTGAATACGATCACATCAGCCACCAGGCTGTAAAGGGAAAGGGTAAGTGTAATGATAAACCTAGGACTCATTTGGAGATATTTTTATAAGCCTCTGTATATGAAACAAAGTTACACTACACCTTAAGTTTGCAAAGAACTCTCGATTTCCCACCATTATCTATCAAAGTGTCTCTAACAGGTAAGTTGGTTTTAACAATATTGTATCACAAGAAGTTGGATTGGTGGACCAAGGAGGAAAGGCAAAAGGGAAGTTAAATAATTTGATGGGATTACTTGAGATTGCAAACAAAAGTATTTTCACAGTGTCAGAAACTTCCTGTATCAGTAATGGCATCAAGTACAGTGTGCCCTTGAGTGTGTGCCCCGACAGCCAATGATGAGTTTCTGTGCACATTGTTTTTCACTGTCCTACTGGGAGCGGAATGGTTGCTCTATTTCTCACTACCTTCAAAAGAGTTAAACCTGATTAAGCTATTTTCATACTGGGGCATGATACCTTTAGCACTATTTGGTTAAACTCTTTCTTGCTTTAGTCCTTGCTTCAAGAAACTGTGTTAGGCTTTTTTTTTTTTTTCAATTCTTGGACTACACAGCAAGGATTGGGTATTTTTACAAATAGTTTTGTCACTATTATATTTTATTTGGAACATCTGAGAAGTAGAACAATATTAGAAGAAATGCATCAGAGGTCCATATAACTGGGTCTGATTACATAAAAGGAATGTACTATAAAGGAGAGCAATACCACGAGTCCTCAAAATTAAACATAAATGTAATATTGGCTACTGTTTTTGGTAAATGGACTATTTTTACTCTTCTTAATATATTTTAAATAAAAATAATCTAAAGTATATTGTTATAAAGAAATAGGAAAACAAGTTTATGTAATATAAACATGTCGGCTGTTTTCGTAATTGTCTGTAACACTTTCTTGAACAGCAGTGAAAACAAATGATAACCATGGGTGAGCTGGATAGAACCTAAATGTGTAGTATGATCCCTTTATGGATCAAAAATAGATTTAATAAATTATTGTTTTTATTTTTGACAATATTCTCTTAGCTTTAACCAATGACTTGGTGTTAATAGATTCTCAGTGAAAGGCATACAAATGCTTTGATGGAAAGGTATACAATATTAAATAGATAAACCAGTTAGTTTTATTTCATTCTAAAAATGATAGAAAAATAACACCTAAGTCCACAGGTCTGCAAAACACAATAAAATAAGTAGAATTCATAGAATAGGAATAAAACAACAAATCCTCAGGTTAGTAGTTAGAGACAGCTACATTCCCTATTACTACATAGTACATAGTAGAATGAGAAACCATCAAAAGAAATGTTGACCTGCCACTTTCTGACCTAGATTTCCATATAATTTTTTTGTTTGGTTTTAGTTGCTACCTAGTGCAAATTTGGGAGTGGGGATGATTACAACATGGATAATACAAAGGAATATCACAGAAGTGCTGACACAACAATAAGCAATAAGGAAGCCAATACAACAATGTACGAAAAGTTGAAGGATGTTTTATAGCTAGACTGTTTTCACCATATGTCACATATTGTAATAGCGATCCACAGGTCATAATACATCGTTATGACATGAGTTCATAAGTCAGAGGGTTAGTGAAACCTCTGTTTAAGGTGAGTGCTTATGTCAGTCACCTTTAAAGTCTTTAACTGCCACCCGGTCAAGAAAGAAATCTGACAGTGCCAACAAAAGCAGAAGTCAGCAAGAAAACTAAAGAAACATTTGAGAAAGCAAGAGTCATACTTTTCAAAGAGAATCTGAACAGGATTGCTTTTTGACACTCTTATTTTTCCTCTGGATAACTGTGAACCTTTTTTTTTTTTTTCTATTATGAAACCTATTGATGAGGTCTACTTTTTTCTCTCCAAGCTTTGTCTATTAGTTTACCCTCTCCAAAAGGGCAATGCCAAAAAATCATACAAAAGCTTTTACAGTCTCATTCTCTATGTGCAAAAACAATCCTTTATGAGAGAGAGGAGGGGCAGTAAGCTAACAGTTTTTAGGGTATCTGCCCTCAAAGGGCACGCAGCCCAACTATTTACTTTCTTAAAAATCAGTGTATGGTAAATTAAAGATCCAAGATAGTTTACAGAAATATCCTTCCTGGTGCATTTCCTCTCTGATATGAGCGTGTATAACTTCCATTAACTTTAAAGCCACTCATAAAGGGAAAAATAGACTTAATTTTTTCCAGTGATTTCCCAGGGGGTAATAACACACTATCTGAGGAAAAGAATGATGCTAATTCAAGAAATCAAAAGAATATTACAAATGTTTTCCATATTGATAAAACACAAAGTGGTTTTATTTTTGTTTTCAAAACATAGTTCCCTTCTCTGTTTCAATATAAAATATTTTAATTTTATTATGAAATTTTAAAACAGTTGCTTTTTATGAGACATTTGACGTGAAGCAGTTCCACTCTATTTTGATAGCACTGCTACTTCAGAATTGAAGCAGCTTGTAAAAATGATTGTAGGAAAACATTTACAAAATGCTCAAAACACCAAATTATTACCATATAGTTGTATTTTTATGTCAACTGAACTATAGAACATGCTTGCAAGAGTTGAGGGTCTGTTTAAACCAGTCATCCATCCCAATTGCTAATAGCTGCTAATAAAAGGTGAATAAAATGCACCAAATCACCATCAAACAAATTCCACTTGACTGTTACATTCATTTGGATAGGATTCAATAGCAAAGTCTTTTCAAAGTTGTTATTAACTTCTTTCATTAACTAAGCTTCAGGAGATATACTTTGTTGAAGTAACAATAGAGAAGTATCATCACCTTTGAAATGTCATGGTATTTTAAGGCTGTGCCATTTCAGAAGACTCAATGGGGGGGGGTGGTTAGAACACCACAAAGAGATTCATTTTCCATAGTTTTATCAATTTTTTAATCAAAAGGGGGTGGAGGTGTAAAACCTCTTGCTTCATCATGATGCTTAAATTTTTAAAATTTCTATTTTGATTTTAGCTGAAGATAGTGAGAATTATTGATAAACAAGAGTTTACTAAGTGCTCTTTCTAAAAGAATGCCTTAAACAATGTATCATGAAATCAAGGAGTGAAAGTCCCTGTCAATCCTTTGATTCTATCCTGAATGTTGTCAAAAATACAGCTAGATAATTAGTTCAAAATATAACTAGATTATTACATACATGTATTTTATAAAAAGATTAGCTTTGATATATACTGCAGAAGCACAAGTAATTACTATCATGGAAGGTATGTTTAAACATTTGTGCCTACCTTAAGGTGTTTTTAAAATAAGTATACAATAAAGCTACAGATTTAAAAGCTAACTATCTATCAAGAAAAGAAGTGGCCAAGGATCAAATATAATGATGCAATCTATACCTACCATGAAAGAATTTGGTTGTATCCATATTGAAAATCCCTCTCCTGACATTTCTTGACAGGATATACCAATTGGTTCTCGTGGAAGTACAGAATCTTTTTCAGTTTCCCAAGGTCAGGCCGAAGGGCAGCCAGTTCGGTCAGGTTAAGCACTGAGCTTGCAAAGAGGATCCTAAGAAACAAGGAAATTAGGGTTTACTGTCCCAAGCATGCTTAAAGAGGTCATCCTTTGCCCTTCTCTCCTCTTTCCTCTTCCCATCCCATGAAAAACATATCCCCTACAGGGACACATCAATAGTTGAGCCTTAATACCATGTAGCAGCATTCTAAGTTTTGATCTCTTAAAAAGCAGCTGCTAAGAACTATAAAAGACCCGCATCTCATTGGTCTTCTCAGCTCAGTTACTGAGATGCAAAAAAAAGAGAAAGAAAAAGAAAAAAACTGGATGGATTTTATTGAAAAAGGCAAGAAAAGCTCTATCTGAAGGACAAATGGAACAAAGATAAGGCTGACTGGGGAATACTTTCCTTGCCAGTTTCATTACACTTTACTTCTTTATGCAACCAACTACTGAAATCCAATATACGAGCAAGAATGGCACATGTTCGTGTTATGACATAAACCCTTTTGATTTACGCAACAGACTCATCTAGTGTGGTCTTTTTCTCTTGGCATGTTCTCTCAACTCCCTCCCCCATGCCCATTTTAAAGTATACTACAATATTTGTATTTTAAAAATATCTTTTTTCCATTACTGGACTGCTAATGGCACAAGAGGTACAATCTATAAAATTCCTTACATAAGACACAAATATAAAAAACAGGTGAAAGCCTAATTCCTATTCTTGGAGGGAAAAAAATGGAAACTGAAAAGCATAGCTATCTATGTTTTCAAAAGAAAAGTGTGTCTATTTAATCTCTCATTCCACATTTACTAAATGACTACTATGTGCCAAACTCAAACCAGGAAGAATAGAAAACATGAACTACACAACCTACCAGCATGAATGTTGCTGTAATAGAGACATACACAAAGTATTAAGGGAACAAACAGAAAGGAGTAATAATTGTCAGGACAACCTGGAAATGTTTCTCTAATGAGATGCCAACCACATACAGGCACAAATGGGGGTCAAAGCACAATGCCTGAGCAGTTTAAAAAACTTAGATGGCACAATTTTCACAGAATGTCACCAGTATAATACAGTATAGCATCATGTGACTGTTACGGCTTTCATTCCCATTCATAAAATGATATTAGAGAAGGTTAAGAGTTTTTCCTAGGATCATACTGGTAGAAAGGAGTAGCAAAACAGAGACTGCTGGTCTTCCAAGAAACCAAAATACTTTTCATTATAACACAGATATAAATTAGTTGTAGACCACTTATATTGCAAATTATTTTTCTGTATGTAATAAATATAAAATACCATCCTTATTATTACCATGATTACAACTACTATCAATCCTCCCTTACAGACAAGCCAAATGGCTAACTTCAGGTGTTTATATGATCTGCAGTACTAGCCTTTCACAGAAAAAGAATGATTACACAATAAGTGCATATATCATAAACAGGAATTCAAGTGCCTTCTTCATGGGCTAAAAAGGCACAAAGAACAAAAGCCAGTGATCACTCTTTAAACCCACATTGCCATAGTAATAATATTTTTGTTTATCTTTACAAAAACAAAAACAAAAACAAAAACCAATGGGTTACATTTATTTTTTAAATTATCTATGCTCATTTAAATAAATAAAAAAAAGAATGGTCAAATAATGCCCTATATTTGTCCAAAGCTATTGCCACCACCACTACTAAGTATGAACTTTCCTAAAAATTAAATTGAAAATAAAATTCGGGACTATTTGCTGGTTTAGTCAGTAGCAAACTGAATTGCACTGCTACAGGCCACAACTGAGGGTTTGGATCCCTGGTTAGCTTGAAAATAACGCCTGGATATGCATACATGCCCAAAGTACTGGTGAAGTAGAGGGCTAAAAATGAGAATCACAGCAAGACTCTGACAAGGGTGCTTTTCTCTCTTTCTCTCTTATTTGCATGCTCTCTAGTATAAATAAGATAAACGTCAAAACAAAAAAGAGAAAATCCTGAAATAGGAATTTTCTTACCTAAATATCTGTTCCTCAGGAGAAAAAAAAATTATTTTATCAATATTCTCCATAAAAGAATAGATGATAGCATGTGGGTCTAGTTATTGAGTAATCGTTCCTATCCTATTTTCCCCATCCCACTGACAGTACACACTATTGCAAGCAAAGTCTAATCATAAAGTCCTAAGCAAGTACAATATTTTTCACTCACAAGGCAGAAATATGCATTAAATGCAACCCCCACATAACTTATTAATTACAAAGAAGAAACACTACGTTTATAATGGAGAAATCAGGTGTACACCAATTTAACCAAGTGATCAAATATAATATAACTAATAATGTGACAAAGTAATATCATATATTTCCAAATGTGATGTACTGAGAAAGATACAAATCACCAATGTAGTCTTCCTGACAAAAATGCTTTCTGTAAAACTAGTCATGAGGAAATACTCTGCAAAGTAACTATATCTCCAAAATGTCAATGTCATAAAAGAAAAAAAAAAAATCTAGATATAAAAAAAAAATGGGGCCAGCAGGTGGTGTAGAATACAAAAAGCTGAACTTCCACATGGTCAATGGTGGTTCCAGTCCCAAACGCAATGGCTTGAAAAATCATGCTGGGCATGTGTGCTTGCATGCCCAAAACCCCAAGAGGAGACTAGAGGAGAAGGAACTGCAGCATGTTCATCCCTCCTACGGCATGCTTTTTCATTTTTTTTGTCTCTCTCTGACATGCCCCCCCCCAAAAAAATAAGTAAAATAAATAAATTTTAAAAAGCAGATGAATACCCACTTCTTCCAGCAACATCATGGATAACAGGGACTTGGTGGTAGAGAAAATTTAACAAACTCAAAAATGAAAACTTATCTGGTGATGATAATGTATATGGCAGTACTTTAACTGGGGTAATATACACTATATTAATGATGGGAAAACTCATTTTCTACACTGTAAAGTTGTACAGTGATTAAATGTAAATTTAAAAAATACAGAAGCTTCTGAACAAAACCCAGTGTATTATCCTTGACTAGATAATGAAAGGGGAAAAACAGCTTTTATAAAGGATATTATTAGGCAAATGGAGGAATTTTGAATATGGGCTGAAAATAAGATTATAAATTTTTTCAATCTTGAATTTCTTAAGTATAATTGTTTTATTGCAGTTTCGTAGGAGCATATTCTTGTTCTTTAGAGATTCATGTCAAATTATTTACATGTAAAATGTCATGATGTCTGCAACTAATTCTTAAATGGTTCAGTCAAAATGCTACTAACAATAAATATTCATATGGATATATTTACATAGAGAAATAACAAATGTGCAAAAACATTAACAATTAATCTAAATGAGTAAGTATATAGCAATTTATTATCAATTTTTGGTAAGTTATGTTTATAAACCTATGAATTTTGGGAAACACATGTTAAGTGGCAGTAACTTCAAGGAAAAAAATATTCTGCATTCCATGAACAATAGACCCTTTATTTTTTCATTTTTGCTGTGATCCAACTGTTGATCTCCTACACAAGGATTATCCTCAGATGGGACAATCTGTAGCAAACACTTAACCAAGGCATACTCTTTGCTCTGCTTTTACCATAAGACCCTGCTCATGACCTCCCTAACATTTGAGTCATAATCAAACAATTCAAACCTAAGCTAAAATCTCCAGCATACTGAATGCAGTATGTTCAGAAGAGAATTGACAATGATTTGTATAATAGTAACCATTCAGGACTACCCATTCTAACACTTTTTTTGAGTTTTTTAATCATTAAAAGGAGGGACCAGTAGTTGGCGTAATGGCTATGTTGCTAGACTCCCACGTAGTCAATAGGGATTCGAGTCCCAGACTGGTGGCTTAAACTCACGCTGGGAGCGTGTGTGCGCATGCCCAAGATCCCGAGAGGAGAATGGACGAGAAGGGATTGTGGTGTGGCCATGCTCCCTGGGGGGTGATTTCTCGCTTTCTCTCTCTCTTTTCTGGCGAGCACACAAGTCCTATAGCAAAAAACTCTCAAAATAAATAAATAAGGAAATGTATTGCATTTTTATAATTCATCTTGAAATATCTGTCACCACTTCTGAATGGTGGAACTAACCTCCAACATTAGGAAGGGATCTCTTTTTGTTTTTTCACTTGTACAATAGTAGTTAAATGGGGTAATAAGCAATTCCTCAAATATCTATCTCAAAAAAAACCAAAAAGAAGTGATAGATATAACTACAAAAGGAAAGATGTGACTCACAGGAATTTTTTTTTTTAACTTGGCTCCCCTACCATCTATTTTTAAAAGTTGATCATAATACAATGAATGACATTGCTCAACCAGCAGCTAATCCCTAGGCTACCAATGTTCACCCTGCCTCAGGTATTATTTAAGCAATAAATCCTACCAAGGTGTGCTTTATCATCCCACCGTGTGTCTCTGGCAGGAAAGAGCACAAGGTGATAGCAAAAACCACTAGGAACAAGATAATTCCTGACAGCTGCTGCTTGAGCACAAGTTAAATTGAACAGTTTATCTCAGCGTGAAGATGTTATAAGGTTTTATGTTTAATATTTTTAAATTAACATAAAACCCAGAGAAAGCAGTTGGGCAATCTTTCACAAACATGACATACTACAATCACGGTATAAGCTGGATTAGTACTTATTACCATGCTACTAGAGAATTAAGCTGTTTTTAGACCACCGAAGAGCTTTAAATTGCAACTTTTGTCTCTGTAAGAGAAACCTATATTTAAAATGTCTGCTAAATTCAAATTAACGGCTACATCATTAGCTTACCATCTCACCAAAAGAACAAGGCAGCAGCTACTATAATCATCTAACCAAAATGGCTCTGTGCTGTGAGCACCCTCACACCATTCCATGGATTTGGAAAAGCATCCATGCCCATGTTTCAACTGCTTCCAGTGCACATTGTGTCTACAATCTGGGCTATATTTGCTTAAAGAATCCGAAATGATTTAACACAATGAAATTCAAGATTAGACATTTTATTCTTTTGGGAGACTTGCTTTGAATAAACCAGTTGTTTGCCTT